GGGGGGGGGTCACCGCTTCATTAGGCGCCACAGACAGGTTGACCACCTCGAAGACAAATATTATACGTAATATCGTGTGGGTTTCAGTTTTACCACAATGCTTTGTCAGCTGAGCAGGGCGACGGACGTGTCCAGCTGGCGGTCTAGCACTCTTCATGGCCTTGGGCACCACCACCTTCCTGCCCGCGCCCGCGTCAACACCCCGCGGCAGCCGCTGCTGGTCGGCGTCCTCTCTCTCCTCTCTCCGGCGGCGAGGGGATGAATGTCCTACAGCAGGCCAGCTGGTCCTAGCCCTGCAGCCCCCCCCCCCCCCCCCACACACACACACTCACAACCTGCAGCACGCCCGCGGGGGCGGCGAGGCAGGGGCTGGAGCAGCGTCAATCTCAGGACCACGTCGGCCGAAGACCGATCGTGACTGTCAGCTTGGTGCTCGTCCGCTTCTCGTCGCTTTTGGACTCCTATTTCTACGCGACTGCAGGTGGTTGGTGAGCGATGGTGATGACAACGGGCTGCACGGGGGGCGTCGGGGCGTTCGAGCACGTCCTCGCGAACGACACGGACACCTGGCCGGTCTAGGGACCAGGTTTCTCTCCGGGAAGGACCTTACGTGCTATTCTGATTACAGGTTGAGTTACGCCGGTGTGAAAAAGAAATCGAGCTCATACCCGCTGGGCTCAGAGAAAGTATAAGGATGCTGGGCAGAATGCTGCGTCTCGTGATCGTCGAAATTGACCGCAAAAAAGGTAGACTCAAAGGGTGCCCCATCACACGGTAATTATTTTCCTTGAATTACGAGAAGACCCAGTCTTGCATGCCAGTGGCGTTCTCCATAATATACAAGACTGGGTCTTGAAATTTAAGAAACTTTATTTACCGTGGAGACTTGCTGGCATAGCCAGAGGTGTGAAATACAGGGTGGTCCATAGACCCCTTTATTTTGCTTATACTGTACCGCATGCCAGGCGTGCGGCTGGGTAGCATACTCGCACGGGGCCTTAAGGCGCAACGGCGAGCTAGGGTATAAGCAAAATAAAGGAAGGGGTCTGTGGACCACCCTGAATAGCTGACACAGGAATAAATTTGGTCGTGTAACGTCAATTGGTGTCATCATGACATGCTTATGTCCTTTGGGAATACGCACCAGCTTACGGAAGTGCTTCCGGGCGTGTGAGTGGCGTGTGAGTGGGTCGTGCGATTTAAGTCAGACGCGGTATGGGGGGGGGGGGGGTGACCGCCACCCCATCGTCTCTAGTGAGCCGCATGAAAGGTAGGCAATTTGTGCTGCAAGACCCCTGGCAACCCACAGTGCATCACCACCACCACCCCCTGTCGCCCCCCTCATGTACCGAGCCTGATTTAAGTAAGGGGAAGCGGGTGGAGATACCCGGTATCGGTATGCAATGGCTGCAGTCGCAGGCGGGTGGCGGGAAAGTGGTGGGGGGATGCCACTTTCCCGCCACTACCGCGCCTGCAGCCAGTGCATAGGCAACCCAACGTACTGGCATGTCAGCCTGGCAGCCGGCACCTTTTAAAGGTTTAGCAGACGGCTTGGATTGTAACGCACTTCCATTTCGGTATTACAGAGCCACCGCCAACTGCAAGACCCCGAAAGGCGTACCGCCCACTCTCATCTACATACCTGCTGCCTCCCACTCCAATGTCTTCTATGGACTACCCGCGACGTCCGCCGGTGCCGCGCCCCACTCCATATCCACGCCCTTCGAACCCACAACGACCCACGGCGGCACCCCAACGACCCGCACTGGCGTCACGGCCCCCAATTCGTCCTCAAATTCGCGAGGAACCTGCCAAGCGAAATAAGCGAGGGAAGAGAACCACGTAGCCTGTTCACAATTTGCTTCTTATCATTTTTTGGAATGGGATATAAGTTTACAAATTAAGAATGAAACACTTGTCTTGTGATAACAATTCGATGGGACAGTCACGGTGAAAACTATATCCCTGTTTCTAACAGTAATACCATCGCCGATGTTGGCGTGTAGGTTTTCGGTCCGATCAGTAAGCAGTTGGTTAAAACCAAGTGGCTCTTACATGATACTGATAATCAGGGCGTCGTTTTCACCGTGCTGTTAAGAAAATTTAAAACTTTTCCGACTTTACTGTAAGGTACACTGTGTTCACCCAGGCTATGCAGTGAAGTAAGTACACCTATACTGCTGTTCTGCTTGTCTTCCGTATCTACAAATTCTGAAAATAGGCTACAATACTCTAAAAACTTACTTCTCCCTCCCTTGACCCAATTTGCTAGGGTCCTATAAGGTGTTCTAATATTTGAGTTCACAATGTCAGAGAAAAATTGTAATAGTAAGGCAGTTTAATTCTGATGTGCGTTCTGCCTCAATTTTGTTTTAACATAGCAGTTTAGATAAATTACTATTCTCAGACATGATGAAATGTAACTTGACGCTGGAGCAGTAAGGATTACTTATTGTAAGTTTGTTTCATGCAGACAGTTTAAAACAGGGTGTTCCCAGTTCCCCCCACTTTTTACTCTAGATACTAACTAATGTCAACCTCATGAATATTAAGTACCATTTCCTCCAAATAAAATTAGTTGTTTTTCTTTTTCAAAAACCACAACTGCTCTTATAATAAACAAAGCCCATGCCCTTGTGTGTTCAATCTTTTCAAAGAAGTGGAAATGATTAAAGTGTCCTGAAAACCCTCTAGAATGAGCATGACAGGCCTAAGACCCATCGCATACAATGGAAAGCGAGAAGATACTCTACTTAATCCTACTCGTAAGCTTCAAGATGCCCCAACACATTCAAGATAATAAACTATGAGAACCACGCAATGCAAGGAGTCTTTCAAACTAATTTAATAACATACAACTACATGTAATCAAAAGGTCCTCTTTGGTCAGTGTCCACACAACAAATATGGACACATGAAACGACAGATACAACAAGTTCTTAACCTACTTAGGAACACAAGTAAAAATGAACCAGGACACACAACTTATGGCTGCTATTGTGAGGCCAGATAATGAGTAGAAAAATATAACCAGGGATTAAACCACAGCATCATCAAGTGACCACAAAGTCAACAGTCCAGCATTTGAAAGTTATACAAATTATTGGCTATGGTCTAGATAATTGACATGCCACAGAGAGTGCAGTACAATTTGAATACAGAGGCAGGGAAAATATTTAAAAAACCAATGAATTCAAAACATGGACAAAGGAGAGGATAAGATTAAAACAGAACCATGACTGAAATCTTTGTGAAAGACTGGGGTGCCTGGGTCATCACAGTGTACACCTCAGCTTAAATCAAAATCAACTTGAAACAAAATATTGCGACTACTTTTGGATTAAAAGTGAGGCGAATAATACTGTTCTGTTGCGGAGTATCAATTGAATTGCTACATACATTACAAAACAAGCAACAAATGGCCTAGGACAAGCAATTATTAGTTACTGGAGAATGTTTCAGTTAACAGAGGTAACAATATGTACAAAACTAAATGCTGACCTTTTGATATTCAGGTGTAAATCAAACTTATAGCTTAGCACAAACTGCAAATATACACCAGAGAAGATAATGGAAATAATTAATGGACGCCACAAATTAAGTCCAAACCGAACTATAGCAGCTGTCACCAAACTGATAACAATAAGACTGATCAAAGGAAAGAAATCCACCAAGTGCCTGAAATGAAGTGCCCAAAGAACATCAGAAAAATAAAGACAGCCAAGTAAGATGACTAAAAAAAGATAAATACAAAGAAAAGGCAAGGTCAAAAAAATATGACATGAATTTTTCTGATAGTTATTAAATTTACAAGGCACTTTAGTGGAAGCCTGACCAATCTTAGTCATTGCTTTCAGTAGCACCTGGGTGATCACAGTTTACACCACCATATCAGCTAAAAGAAAAATACTGCAACGCAATACAAAAATGGCATGGTGAATTAATAGCCTGGAAGCATTCTCCTACGACGGTGCAGAACTACACCAACATTCCAATTATTTGCTGTAAGGGCGCGCAGCGCTCTATTTTCTGGGTAAGAAGTAACTTCCATGACTAGCATCATGTTGTTGTTGTACTCTACCGGTCTCTCAGGCCCTGCAACAAAATAGGAGTAGAATTAGGATACTAAGGGGAAAAAAGGTGGTTGTTAAACGATACAATTTTGCCAACATACCACCAGCTAACACATCCACATCCACATCTTCGCTATAGCCTCATACATGGCTTTATCTGTATCCAGCATCCGTGCAGCCTCCATATTAAGTGGTAAATCAGGATTTGGGTCGGCGAGCAACCCATGAATAGCCTCAGAAACTTCAAGAAGGGTTGTAGCAGGAGACCTGCAGGGAAGAAAAAAGGTATCAGTGAATTGAACCTTTGCAGCACAAGCCAAGAGACCAAAATTGAGATTCTAATCATACATACCAAGAACTGAGAACGCTAACACACACTCTACCAACAGAGGATATGTTGGGGTGCCAAATCGTAGTAGACATGTAAACCTGAAAAACATCACCACATTAAGTCAAAAATTGATAAACCATCAATGAAAACTACAATGAATCAAAATCCGAACCAAGAGTAGGAATTTGACAAGTGTCTACCTTGGGCGCCTGAAATGGAAAATCAAGAGGCAGGTTCAAGCGGACATCAAAGGTACCTCCAGCATATGGTGATTCGGCTGGTCCTACCACGCTAACTTCAATGAATCGCATACCGATCGTATCATAATCTGTCAAGCATATTCCGTCGATGGCCTGAAAAAAGAGCCGTGTTGCAAAACTCAGACAGAATGAGAGTAAAGGTTATGGCACTCCGCCCGCGGGCTCGAGGTAAGTGATGGGGACTCACGTGCTTGGTAAAATCAGCTATGTCCTTCATGAAACGGTGGGCTCGTACTTCAGCCATGTTTGCTTGCGAGAAATGGACTGACCCTCCTGTGACGGTTAACACGATGCCGGTGATGGCGCGGGAACGGAGGGAGTGGGGGGTGAGAAGCCAGACAAGCTGCGCAACTCACGAACACGAAACAAGCGTAGAGAAGTCGTCAAAAATGAAAAGAAGAATACACGCACAGATGGTTGTCACTCAAATTAACTTTGACCGACTCAATCGAAATCCATAAACTCCGCTGTGTCCCTAAATTATTCAAAACTAAAGGCGAATATAGTTTTAGAGGACGGCCAGCACTGACGGTTGGACACATGATGTATTTTGTTTACAAAAGCGATCATCTCTAGCAGACGTTGCGGAAAGAAGGAAAACATCATAGCCAGAAACCACATATTCTGTGAAGTTTTGATCATTAAATTCTTATTAAAATATAAAAAATGTCAATGCTGCATGCTGGCAGGAGTGGAGATGTCGATGACAATGCTAGTGGTCCCTCAAGCTATAGTGAGTGTCACTTTGAAAGTACATAACCTCAGGAACTGTGAACACAATGATAACTTATCTCCGACACTTGTGTTACATTGCAGCTTTGGGCGGGTCTGACTGGTGGGATGACGTTTACGAAGCTGCCGACCTGACAAGAACACACTTTGCCTCCGTGCCTTATTTCGCAGTCCATGCAAAGCAATCAAGTCAAGGTGAGGGATAGCATAACTATCATAGCTTCCAACACACTCACTGGTCGAGCTTGTATCTATTATTCCTTGTTGCAGCTGTTCAAGCTTTGAAAACCCAGACACCAGAACCGAAGCAACAACAAGAAGGAGGAAGGAAAACCTACATTAATGCTTGTGAGGCAGGACCAACATTCGATGATGAGACAGCAGGTAAAACTGATTGTCTTATAAGCTGGGTTGTGCATTCACTCCATTCAATATGTGATCCTTTCATTCATGTACTTTTATGCCTCTGTATTTGTGGATATTTGGATGAGCAAATAAACAATCCTGCCTGAGTTAGCTTTGTTTTACTGCTTTGTACATTGATCAGCAAGTTTTATCCCAAATAAGAAGTGGTTGAGCAAGTAATCCCTCACCAAAATTTTACCATGTATGTTCCAACCCCACAATTCGGCCATCATAGTCATCCAAGTTTGTTAACACATGAATCTCTAAATTTCAGCAGAATAATGTGGTAGCACGTCCCCGTCGCACATCTCTAAGTCCCACCAATGCCCTGCGCAATGGATTAGAATCAGCCTCATCCAGACCCTAAACAAATGTCACCGCATCTAGTATTTCCCAATTTATGTATGAGGTGGCTTTCAGAGTGTAGTGTGATGTGAGGCAGGTCTTTCCATAAGCTTGACTTAGTAGAGACAGACCTCTTACCATAACTGTACCATGTTGTAGAAACCCAACAGTATAGAGCCAAAGCTCTTGGGATGATTAGTTTAAATTCTCAATAAAATTAGACAAAAGTACAGTCAGGACAAATTGTTTATTGTAAATGAGAAACATTAAGGTACAAATGGGATCAATTGTATAAAAATTCTCACTCCTACAGTCCAGTCCAAGGAGGAAAAATTAAACAAACACCATTTAAAAGGGAAGAAAAAGCTAGCAAGATCAAAAGGTTAATAAAAACAATCAAGACTTAAATATCTAGTCACAATGAAGGTACAAATGGGATCAATTGACTTAGTTTCGCTACAAGAAACAGTAAATGTATAAAAATTCTCACTCCTATAGTCCAGTCCAAGGAGGAAAAATTAAACAAACACCATTTAAAAGTGAAGAAAAAGCTAGCAAGATAAAAAGGTTAATAAAAACATTCAAGACTTAAATGTCTAGTCACACAATTGACTACACACTAGTCAGAATACAAAATAAAATAGTCAAAATTGCCATGAGGGAATGATTTTGGTGTGAGTTTGCTGCTGAGAGGACAACTCATACCCCAAAGGATTTTCTTCCTTTTTAAACCTCTACTGTTCAAATATATCAGGTGACATAGACCTCTTATTCAAGGTGTTGCGGAAAGGATCCCCATCTGATGCGTGATTCTCTCCAAACCCAGTTTCCTCATCCAATCGTAGTTTGAAGTTTTCTTCAGACACAGAAGTCTTTGCGTAGAGACTGGCTAGACGTGCAATTGCACTAGTGGATAACTAGTCACGAATTTAAGTATACAAAAACACACAGTACAACTTTACCTTATTCGAAAAGTTAGAGATATTTAAAATACACAGATTAGGAATGCTGCATTGAAATCACAGCTGATACAGTCTAAGGTGAAGGCTTAGGTACCCCTACCTTGCAAGAAGAGCCTGGGTGAACTCAGTGTACTCTGCCGCAAGATAAGGATATTAGTTCAACCATTGCATAATAACATAAACTAGAACTAGAAGGTTGGCCCAAGTACAACACTGTAGTTACACACCAAGTCAAGGGAAAGCGTAAACCTTCATAGTATTAATACGCTAAAAAAGGGCATGGCAATGCAGAAGACGTGTAACTGGTAACTATCAAAGTTATTCCTGGATAACTAGTCAAAAATTTAAGAATACAAAAACACAAAGTACAAATTTTAAATTAAATTGACAGATGTTGATGATGCAACTTTACTTTGTTTTAAAAGTTTGAGATATTTAAAATACACAGATTAGGAATGCTGCATTGAAATCACAGCTGATTCAGTCTAAGGTGAAGGCTTAGGTATCCCTACCTTGCAAGCAGAGCCTGGGTGAACTCAGTGTACTCTGCTGCAAGATAAGGATATTAGTTCAACCATTGCAAAATAACAATATAAACAAGATAAGGATATTAGTTCAACCATTGCAAAATAACAATATAAACTAGAACAAGAACAAGAAGGTTGGCCATTAAAGACACTAAGCTGAAACAAATTTTTTAAACATTTCAAAAGTAGAATCAGATGTAGACTGGATTGAGCTGCGATTGCCTGAAGTCAGTGCCACAGGTTGGGCACGTTTTCATGTACTTGTTTATCTGCGCATCACTTTGGAGCCAGGCAGTCATGCAGTGGTCATGAGCATAATGCCCACATGGCGTGTTTAACATTTTGCAGTTGTCTGACACTTCATAGCAAACGCCACATATAAGTCCAACTTTGAACAAAAATTCTCATTCTCCTCTTCTTTATGTTTTCTTGCTAACGTAGAGGTCAAAAAGTGAACAGTCGCCGATTAAGATTATTAATGTATGGGAAGTTAGAAAATTTATTCTAAAATCTTTCTACGCAATTCATTGAACATTTCTAAAATGCTAACTTGCCCGCGTCTCACTGAAATGTTGTAGAATGGAACCTGATAAAAAAAATATAGGTATACAGTGATACTGGACCCCTTTATATCAGTAGATTAGTAATTGACATACTTTCAAGAGTTTTGGGACCGATTCCATATTCCTTATGGCCAGTTCTTCATACATGTGGAAATTTTGAATGAAAGTTCTTTGAATGAAGTGTTTCAGTGGCTGAGGCAAATTTGTCTCCTCTAGCATAGCAGCTACAGCTGAATGAAGAGTCTTTGTTTGTACATACAGGTTGTACTGTTCAACTGCCAGAGGTTCAGCCTGTGGAAGTAGAAACAAATTGTCATTAGGCAGGCCAACACAACAATAGCTTTCATGACTTTTCAAAGGAAAAGTTACTGCCAACCTCTTCATCAAACCCTGGTTCATTGTAAATTGGATTTTCACACATCACACTTTGAATTGAGATAAGAACGCCTTCAATTGTATGACTTGGCAACCATCCAGGTCCAAACCATGTCCTGCAAATGATTAGAGTACAACAATTATGTGTGTTGCAAAAGTGTTTCAGCTAATGCATTAATATTTGAATAGAATAAACATACATAAATGATTTCCACTGAGTATGGGCTTTTATGGCAAGAAATTTTATAGGTCTCATCGGCCAACGCTTATGCACCTTTGCCACTCCAAATAATTAATCCCAAACATCAATTGAAATATGGTATGGTGCACTTACCCCAAAATGCTCAGGCAGACTTTCCCGCAACTATAAAAGTTGGGATTAAATCTAACAGTGCCAGCACCAGTAGTCATGAGCTTCACCTTAGGAGGACTTAAAGGATAATCAGAGGTGCACTTTAAAATGAAGTAAAAAAAACCACCATTGTAAGGGGTGTTAGTGGCACCAGAAATGAGAGCATGGACAATAGTGAAGTCTTCGTCATCAATGTGCGCAGTAACCCCACATGGTGGATTGTCCATTAGAGAGGCAATATCTCTGTGGAAAAGAAAAGAAAGCAATATGATAACAGCTCATCCCAAACCAAAGATTAATAGCAAACACTCTAACATCATGGTAAAATCAATGTCTGATTATTTTAAGAAGGGGAAAACTTTGAGGAACTCCAATAATTTGAGAAAAAATCCTCAGATTTAGAGGAAGTCTCCTCAAAATGTGTTGGAATTACCCTCATTTTTTAATGACATCCTCTCAAAATCTGAGGAGTTCTCCTCACAGTTTTCCCCTTTCGCTAAAAAAAATCAGACATTGATGTAACCGTGGTCCATGGTACTCCCTGTTCTGCTGCTCACATTCAAAGAGTTAAAGAAAGCTGGGAAGTGAAATTATTTTAACAAAACACAATTTAGATTTATGGTTCAGTTTTGTGATAAAAGCAATATGCATATAGTCCGGCCAGCCAAAGGTGACGCCTGGCTTAGCATGGGCTCTTATGGGCGGCTACAGCAAACCCAGGCGTCACCTTTGGCTGGCCGGACTATACACTTTTAAAGCCACATTCCCAACTGCTTTATTCAGTGTTCTTGTACTGCGCAGTACAAGGTACCAGTACTTTTCCAGCCATTAAATCTTTGAAACCAGCCAGGATATGCCTACATGAGGTGCACTGCACGCTGTACGCTCTTTCATTTGTACTTGAGTACAAGTGTGTTACAATTTGGTAAAGAATAAACTGACACGGCACCATCAGCAAGTAACTCGCTTCACCACTCCGGTAGCAAAGTTTCATCAATAAGCACCCAGCGCTGAAGGGGCAAGAAAGGGTTGAACAGAAATATAAGTTAGAAACGTTATGTACTAGACGTATTGTAGAGGTTGAGGTCTACTTTCAGACCAAATACACGTCTATGTACAAGTCAAAATGGACCAAAAGTAAACGTCATCGTCTTTTAGACGTCTAATCGACGTCGAGTAGAATATGCATTCTGGCTGGGCAGTAACTCCATCGCGACCGTCAAACGGAGCACATTACTAATACAACTATAACTAAAAATGTACTATCTTTTAACGTTACCTCTGAATTCTTCGTGTGCACATAGAGGAGAATTGGCCGCTGTCAGCAACATAAGCGAAAGGGTCCCAACTATATAAGTTCACAGACATGATTTCCTTTCGATAAAGTTAATTTTCAGAATGGGCACAAGCACTGTTTTGTGGAGCCGAGTCCCAGTCCGGAATATTGAAGTTGTAAAGTGCTCCAGAACTCAGAACCAAAACCACAGATCACGCTTGCTTACTTGCAGACAGCCGAGCTCCCAGCCCCACCAAATCAACATATGAAAACTAAACGATTCTGCAGTCAGTGAGAATTTCGGAACCGTGGTGCTGAGTAGGAAGCCTTTCCATCTAACATTTCCGAAAATTTTTAGTTAATCACAGAACTTATCTGGCGTTGAAACGTTGAACGGTACCGATGCAAGACGAGCCGACCTACTGCGCGCAGGGCGCGGCCCGTTGGTGTACCTGTAGCGGCGCGGGGTGTTCGAAGGGTCGTCGTGGCGCTGCTGTCGCGCCTCGCCGCCGAGCCGAGAGCATCCGCAGATGCGGCGACGTGCTACGAGACGTGCTACTGACGTGGGGTGGTTGTGCCTGTCGTTCCCCGCACCCGCCGCCGAGCCGAGAGCATCCGCAGATGCGGCGACGTGCTACGAGACGTGCTACTGACGTGGGGTGGTGCTTCTGTAGAAAGGCAGCACCTACAGGGTGCCAATTTGGCGCATTTTCAAAACCAACCAAAAGCGCCTTTGGAGCGCTCCATACATTCGCCCAAAAAAACGCCCTTTGGTGAGCTTTTTCATCAAAAGACATCACATCACACACTATAAAGGGGGGGGGGGAACAAATTCAAATTAATTAACATAAGCAACAGCACTCAAGCAGTGCCTAAGATGAGATTTAATTAAGATGAGCACAAACTGAACAATTGGAAGACAACTGTGTCAAATTCTTGCCTTAAGTAGGCCAAAATACATTTCTTTGATTTGGCTTTTTGGTTATGCATCTTCCTAACATAACATAAACTGATTGAAACTGCATGCAGGTATTAATGTTGTTTTTTTTTTTGTCGTATGGCATCAACAGTTGCGTGTAAGCATTTAAGACATTCTTCAGAACTATCAAGGCACTCAACTGCGTAGAGCGGGACCTGCAATTGGGAATAGTGTAATAAATGATAAGTTATAAGAACCAAGTGGGATTGCTGGAACATACTTGTAATAAAAAATACCATTATAATATCAGATGCTTGCTCCATTCTCTTCATTGCCAAACCCTCATAAAAATCGTAATTTGCTTCAAAGTGTTCTTCAATGCATTTGGATAGCGGGAGAGGGATATTTAAATTGGTTTCGTTGATCAGCATTCCACAAATTGCTACTCTTAATGTTTCACACTTGACATAATTGTTGTAGGCCTCAACATCATCGGGTGAATCCTGACAATCAGAAAAATGTCAACATTATTAGAAGGTACAGCCGGTAGAATGGTACACTTTAGTACTGTAAATGAACTAGGTAATTTTTTTTTTTTCACCTCTTCATTGAACCCTGGCTCATTGAGCAAAGGATTCTCATTCATTAAACTTTGAATACTAAGTAGCACAGCCGCTAGATTACACGTTGGGAGCCAGCAGGGTCCAGGCCAAGTTCTACAAATAGAATCAATATGTGTGGGTATACAAGATGGGACAACTCAAGTGTTTATTTATTGATAGCAAGCAATTTTTAAGATGTCGAAGTGAAACTCTTACTGCCTAAATTCTTAATACGCATTATCTCACTGCCTGAATTTAGACAAGGGCCAAAATTTAGGCAGAGAGGGACTCACTTCGACAGCCAAAAACAGTCAAATGATTAACAGTGAGCGTTCCTTGTTAATTGGGGTGCCCTTGAAGCGTCTAAGCAAGGGGACAATTGTGCACTTGTGTGTGCATTTAAGATTGTTTTTAGGAGAAGATAGGAAACCAGTACAAAAACAACAGGTTTTAGGAGACAATAACACAAAGTATTGATGTCGATGTGACATTAGGTTTCCATGTAAAAGTAATTCATTGGTCAAAATAAACTTTAAAGATTCCAAAATAAAACACTGTACATCTTTTTCTAAAACCTCGCGATCCAGGAAATTCATAGCGCTTCACCACTTTGATTTCAAATATTTTCACTTACCCAAGAATACTCAGGCACACATAGCCTTTTTCATATAAGTTGGGATTAAATCGAATAGTCCCAGCTCCTGTTGTCATGAAACGGACTTTGGGTGGTTGCAAAGGGTAATCGTGTGGGCATTTAAGAAGGAAGTAGAAAAAACCACCTTCATATGGTGTACCACTGGGACCAAGTATCAAGGCATGAACCAAAGTAAAGTCTTCGTCATCTACATGAATGAAGACGCCGGGAGGAGGATTCGTGAATAAAGAAGCAATGTCTCTGTAAACGAATAAATAAAAATAATCATTCAGAAAATTGCCAACAGAAGACCACAGACTACCAACAAGCTGCCATTTTTGCACTAATATTTTTTGAAAATTAATTGGTCTAACCTCTGAAACCTGCCGATGGCCAACTCAGAGGGAGGGGAATGATACTCCAATGGGTCCCAATCTTTGATCGACATGTTTACTGTTGATAGGTGCAAATAGTTGTTGCTAGATAAAATGAGTCAACAAACCGATTGCGGTGACAAATCTAAACGACAATGATGGACGCTTAATAGCACGCGCTTTCCTTACTTTACCAAGTTCAGGCGGTAGAAAGAATCAGGCACCCATCGAGCTTTCAGAACCACAAGGCCACAGCTACAGGGCTGGCTGCGGCGGGTCGCACATCCCGTCGCACGTCCGCGTCAACCCGCGCCGCGCAGCAGCGCACAGCATAGCCACCTTACGTCAGGAAATACTAGCGAGTAGCAGATGAAGGGGCGGGCTTTCGCACTGCAATTTATTTGCTGCACCTTAATTTTCATTTCTTTTCGTGACACCCAGGGATGTGAGGTGAGCGCGAGTGAGTAGAGATTTGAGTTACTTTTACGTTGGCAGCAGTGCTGGTCGAAATGGACACATCACACAGTGAGCATCAATTAGCGTCAATGAACGTACCCTGGCGTTCCTCATCGTCAAATGCAGCACATTTCGTTCATCTCTCGCCGTTGACTGACTTCGAAGTGGAGTGTCGTCTTGCTGTGTGACTGTTTCTTCGTTTCGGTTCCTGACACAAGTGAAGTGAGTAATTGATTTTAAGGCAGCCTTTTCTCTCGCAATCTCGTGTATTTATCTTATTATTATTATTAGCGTGTGAGTTTTGTCGAATGGCTAGTTATTATACCCCTCGGGTTCAGGCTCTCTGAGTTTGGATTGGACACCAATTCGTGAATTGCCCATCTAAAGTACTGGCGTTAAACTCGAGGGAATTTTTATTTTTTTCCTGTACCTTAGCAGTATCTTTGGTCGTTTTGTATGCCTCTGCACGGGCGTGGTCGTGATCTTGTCATTCCCTATCCCCACATGCTCTTGGGCGTCAAACGCTCGAGTTTATAGGAATTAAAGGATGTTGCGCGAATCATTCGCTGTTTTGATCAGGCCTTTATCCGTGGCTAATTTCTGATGAGTTGTGACTCACTCGGTCCTCTCATGACCCAAAGCACGAGAGTACGAGATGGAGCCTGTCATGCCCTTTCAGGCATACAGACACAAAGCGCCATGCTGTAATGTTTCTGACAGTTTCATTCTTATTTCAGGATGGATACACCCGAGGTCCTCCGGAACAAGCGTCGATTATGGCTTGACTCGCTCGGTGGGAGTGGGAGTACAGCTCAAACCTCTGTTGGCCTTAATTGTAAGTGTAATTGCAGCTCCTTACATCTAGCAATATTTCAACTTGCTCGACCTGTCTGCTCACATTGTCTTCAAAATAAGGTTGTTGCTTTTGAGAACAATTCAGTGCTGCAGTGATGATGAATTTCTTGTTTGTTTTGCAGGCGATGCATTGGCGTCATTTGTGCCTCACGTGCAACCTACTGGTCCAAATTTAAGTGCATCAACAAGCAATGTTGCACAATATTCAGATGTTAAAGGTAAG